CTTAACGCCTGCCCTGCCCCCACCCATTTTGCCCCTGGAATGTCATAGACACAGGTCAGTGGGACTGGCTTCCAGCTGGGGTGATCCCTCGCGCCGGCCCAGCGTCGCCCGCAGCCGGCTCTCGCCTGCGCTGCGTCGCCCTCGCTGCGGGGGTGGAGCATGGCAGGAAGCCGCTGATGCACCCCACATCCTGCAGCAGCAAGCCCCCGCCCCCCCCGCAGAGCGCATCGTGTCTCGCTTGGCGTCTGCACCTGGGCCGTGCCAGCTCCCCCAGGCTGTCTCTAGCGCCCAGCGCGCAGGTGCTGTAACATCCAGCCTCCTGGGGCTTTCCACAAAGCTGCTGTTCTGGCTTCCCATCAAACCCGCAAAGCACTCAGACCCCCAGGGCTGGGTGCCATGTGCCCCCTTCCCACCCCCATGGAGACTGGCGCCGGGCGCTGCACAGACACCGCAAGAGCGGGTCCCCGAACAGACAACGGGGCGGGGGGGGGAGAGAAAGCTGTGCCAAAGGTCACAGCCGATCTGTGGCAAGTTGGGGATTGAACCCAGGAGTCCTGGCTCCCAACCCCCTCTTCCCCCACAAGCACTAGCCCCCACTCCCCGCCCAGAGCCCGGATAGAACCCAGGCGTCCTGACCCCATGCTCACAGGCCTGCATCTCTCCCCTGCAGGTGGACCGGGAGAAAACCTCCCTGGCGGCTGACGTGCAGGAGGCCCGGCAGCAGCTGGACAGCGCCAGGGAGGCCTTGGCGGAGCAGCAGCAGCGCAGTGGCCTCCTCCTGGAGCAGCTCAAGGCCAGGCCGGCTTCCCCGGAGCCCCAGCCCTGGCAGGACCTGGTGGCGCAGCTGGAGGGGCAGTTGCGGGCCTCCCGGAAGTTGGCAGGGGAGCTGCAGGCCCGGCTGGCCCAGGCCCAGGAGGAGCTGCTGGGGCTGACGGAGGAACTGGCCACCCTCTACCACCAGGTCTGCGCTTGGCGTGGCCTGACGCCGCAGCGGGTGGTGCTGGATTATTACCGGGACGGGCGCGGCACCAGGAGGTCGGCAGGCAGGAGGGAGCCGGCAGGCAAGCCCCGTCTCCAGCCGGAGCCAGGGGCCGGGCCCTGCGCGGACCAGACGCCCCCCGGCTCACCCGGGGAGCCCCTCAACGTCTCCAACCTGGCGGTGGTGCTGCGGGAGCAGCTGGGGCACCTGCAGGGGGCGCTGGTCCTGTGGCGGCAGCAGCCCCCCAGGCAGGGCCCGCCGGCCGCCGAGCTGGAGCGGGACAAGGAGGCGCTGGCCGAGGAGGTGCTGAAGCTCCGCTCCCTGCTCAGCACGAAGCGGGAGCAGATCGCCACGCTGCGCACCGTGCTCAAGGCCAACAAGCAGGTGGGTGCGCTGCAGGGGGCTCGCTGGGCCCCTGGAAGGTGGCCCGGGGCAGCCTGTCTGGGTCTGGCCATCTGTGGCTGCAGGTGGGAGCTGTGTGCGTGGGGCATGCAGGCCCAACTGACTCACCCCAGAGGCGGAGGCTGTGGGTGTGTGTGTGTGGGGGGGCCCATCTAGCACTCTCCCCCCAGACGGCAGAGGCTGTGGGGGTGGGGGGGGTGTCTGGGTGCGTGGCGGGGGTGGGGGCCCATCCGGCACTCACCCCCCGTCTCCCCCCAGACGGCGGAGGCAGCGCTCTCCAACCTGAAGGGGCAGTACGAGGGGGAGAAGGCCCTGGTGTCCGACACCATGCTCAAGCTACGCCGTGAGCTGAAGGCCCTGAAGGAGGACGCCACCACCTTCTCCTCCCTGCGCGCCATGTTTGCCAGCAGGTGAGGGGCGCCCCCGGATGGGCACAGCGTTGGAACTGCCCACCAGGGAGCAGGGCTACTGGGCAGGGATGGGGCTACTTGGGGGCGGGGCTGTCCCATTGGCATGTGGCTAGCCATAGGGGCCGGAGCCCCCGGCCGGCCAGCCCCCCTGACCCCCTGCGTCCCCCAGGTGTGACCAGTACGTGTCCCAGCTGGACGAGATGCAGCGGCAGCTGGCGGTGGCGGAGGACGAGAAGAAGACGCTGAGCTCCCTGCTGCGCATGGCCATCCAGCAGAAGCTGGCGCTCACCCAGCGCCTGGAGAGCCTGGAGAGCCCGGCCCGCGGCACCAGGGCCAGACCCCGCAGCACCAGGAGCACCGCGGTACGGCACAGGCCAGCCCCCAGCCTCTTACCCGGCCCCAGGTGGCACAGAACCAGGACGGGCCTCTGGAGGCCCTGGCTGTACCGCACAGCCACGGTCCTGTCCCAGACCTTGGGGCCAGAGGAGGTCCCTCATCTCCTGCCCCCAGGGGTGGCAGCCTGGGTCCCCAGCGGTTGGGGGGCACGGGCTGTGTGCCCCCGACCCCCCCCCAAAGCCCTTTGCTGGGTTGGGAGTTGAGGTGTCTTTCTCCTGCTCTCGGAGTGAAAGGCTCAGGCACGTCTCCTTGTCTGCTTGTTGTCCAGCCATGGGACCTGCACCCTGGCTAGTCTCTGCCCCCCCAGGCAGGGAGGGGGCAGTGGGGCTGAGCTGTGATATCAGTCCCAGCCTGGGGGTGGGGATCGGTGCCGTGGGGGTGTCCCCTTGGCTCTGCTCCGAGGGTAACTGGGCTCTTCCCACACAGCACTGACACCGTGGGCGCGGCCTTGCAGAGAAACCCGTGGGATCGGCGCCAAGCAGAGCCAGCGCCGGGCCCAGCACCGCCCGTGCCTTCAGTGCTGCAAACAGCCGACAGACCCCGACCTCTGCCGCAGCCGCCCCCGCCAGCGGGCGGCCACTGTGCCTTAACCGCTCAGGGCTAGGTAGGGCGTGGCCAGCGGCCCCCTGCCGGCGGAGCACTGGCCGGTGTCTCTGCCTTGCTGAGTGAAACCTTCTCCTCCTGCCTTCGTGGGGTTGGCTCAGGATCCCCGCGCTTACGGGGCAGGGGCCGGGCCTGGCGCTCAGAGACCCCCACACACGCTTACGGGGCAGGGGCCGGGCCTGGGCCTGGCGCTCAGAGGCACCTTTGAGGCACTATCCCCTTTTGTCACTGCACCGTTTTGCACTTAGAGCTGGCGATCTCAGGGGAGTGGCTATGGGGGGCACACGGGGTGTGGGGGGCTGTGCTGTATGAACTGCTGTGTGTATCCCCCGGGCTCAGACAAGTGACCGGGGCCTGGTTACTTTGCCTCCAATTAAAGGGCTTTGGTCTCCTGTCGGGCGTGGAGCTCTGGTCCGTGCGCCTGCCGCAGCCCGGGGTGGGCGAAGGCGCCACGTGGCCTGTTCCAGGGCCCGCACGGCTGTAGGGTGGGCGGTGGATCTGAGGGGATGGTGTCACGGGCTCACAGATTGTGCCCACTCCTGGCCCCGTGCAGTCCATGGGGGGAACCTCCTTCAGTGCGACAGCCCTTCTCGGCGTCCACTCTCTCGGGGGGATCCAGCCCCTCCGCCTTTCAGAGCCACAGCACGTCTGTCTCTGCTGTGCGCCCCCTCAGGGAGTCCCCTCGCTCTGGACCCCCCGAAGGGGACAATACCCCCTGTTCTCTAGCCTGGAGTGACTCTCAGCCAGCGTCCCACAGAAGGATTTACTGAGAGTTGAACGCAGCACGGGAAACTCTGAGGGCCTCAGGCCTGGTCTCCCTCAGCCCAGCACATCCCAGTCTCCCTGCATCCGGGGGGGTGCTGCCTGCTCCCCCTCTCCAGCCACGAGCTCCCCCTGCTTCCCAGCTGGGCATCTGATACCCCCGGCCCCAAGCCCCCCTCCGTCCATTGTCTTCTCTCCAGGGAAACAGGGTCGCCTGGGCCCCCTCTTCTGTCCTCTGGCCCCTCGGGCTGGAACCGGCTGGTCCCGTCACCGGGGGTCCTCTCCCCGCAGCCCATTGTCCCCCCACTGGCCAGAACCGGCTGCGACTCCGGGTCACCCGGTCACCAGTCGCCGGGGTCTCCGGCCTCCAGGCTGTCGGCCGGGGTCCTAAGTTCCTTCTCCTGGTCTGTGTCCCAACGAACTCCCTCTGCGCTCGTTAAACCAGTAACACTGAGTCCCACCCCCTCGGCGTGCAAACCATTGGAAAAACAAGATACTCCCCCACTTTGTCACAGATGGGCTGGGGCGAGCTTGGGGCCGGGCTGCCTTTAGCGGGGGCTGGGGGGGGGTGTCTGCTTCAGGCTCCTACCTGACGTGCCAGGTGCTTCACAGAGCCCCTGCCCACAATGATGGGCTCCCCCACTGTACTGACCACCCCAGGGCCCCCATTGTGTGGGGTGCTGCACTCACCCCTGCCCCCCTTGTGGCACGGCTCCCCTGCCTGGGCTGGGGGTCCCTGTGTGGGCTGGGCACGGCAGAGTGCCTGCCTGCAGCAGCTCCTGGCCTGGAGTAGACAAAGGGGGAAACTGAGGCCCAAGGAAGGGCCCCCCCTCGCTCACCAAGCAGGTGTGTGGCAGAGGGGGGATAGAACCCAGGCATCCTGGCTCCCAGCCTTTGCGCTCCACCCCCTGCCTGTGCCCCTGACTTACCGCAGAGGAAATGACAATCTGAGCCGCCTGGGGCTGGCTCGGTCTAGACGGGCCCTTGGCAGGGGCAGCAGTGACTCAAGCCTGGCTGGGAATATGAATG